TATATATATATACATTTATGAATGTATGTATGTATGTGTGTATGTATGTATGTATGTATGTATGCATATATATATATATATGTATATATATATATTGTATGTATATATATATATATGACGTCTGTGTGTCTGCTTGTGTATGTTTGTATTTTCTTATGTGTTGTTTTCTTTTCTTTCTTTTGGTGTCTTTGCGTGTGCGTATATGTATAAATACATGGTAAAGCACATTCTTCTACTCCTGCTGATTGCACGTGTACATATATTTCTTATTAGCGCCCGGAACCGTTACATTGCCAAAAGACTATGAAGAAGAAGGTCTAGAATTTCTGAAAGAAGCCGTACAGGCAGTTTACAAGTCTAAGGTAAGTGTATCTGCTACGTGTATTACTGAGGGTGGGTATCCATGTTAGCCACTGACTGGCTCACACATTCATAGCAGCCAAATCATGGTATAGGGGAGTTCTAGTTGAATCCAGGGTGCCCGTGGTCCCCATACAAATATGCGTACTTGCTTACTGACCGCGTGCTCAAATGGCACACCTACCCTCATGTCAGTCAGATACGTATTCGTAAATGTGCATATCTACCACGCAAAGCTGTGACGGGTTAGCAAGGGGTATAGCCTCCTCATCTTTGCCTCGCGCATTTGAATAGTGCTGCAGCTCAAATGCTCGTCAGCATGCTATTTACATATTCATACACTATTTCAGTGTGATAGGTAAAGGTGTTTGTGCGGTCGTCCGCGGAGCATTCATCACTGCACAACGCACAGCTACATATGATAATAGTACATATCCAGCGTCTTGAAGAAGGGGCATGCATCTAGAGTACGGTCCTGCATTATGGTAGCGTGCTAGTGTGCATCGGTGTAGTGTGCTGATGTATGCACCCAGCTATGTGAATCTGGTTGATGATGGACGGTGATGATATTATGTGTGCTGGTGGCCTTGACTGTGTCGTTTCTCCTGTAGAGTATATCTTGGCACTTTTAACGGAACGTCTCTACAACTGCGATTCTCAGCCCGCTAAGAAGACGCTAGAGGAACTTTATGGTATCGTGGAAGCACTGTGCACGGCGCAGAGGGGGAAGGGAGTTTACAAAATGGTATGTTTTTCATCTACCCTGTCATGCGCGTGATCTCTATCTGTCCGTATACCATTGCTATGTTCTATGCCGATACGGCTGCCAGGCTGTGTGATTCATACCGTGCCTCCCCGCTGACTTGTGCATGCCCGGCCACGGTGTGAAACGTAGGACAGTGCGTGTATGCATGCAATAGCAGCCGTTGTCGTTGTGGATTTGCAGGTGTCTGGGATGGTGCATGGTATTGCAGTGGTGCAGACAACGTCTAGCACGTGCACGTAGTATTTCATTGGTGCATAGCGTGTGTTATGTTGTTATCAGCAGTTTAGCAGTATACGTACGAGTTTCAGAACAGAGTGCCATCCGTAGCATGCAGACTGACTGTGCAACCGACGCAGTTGAGGTATGTATGTGGGGTTGCCACAGCCCACTGGGACTTCGAATTGCTCAAGCGCCGATACACTGATACAGTTTCATATTGTCATATTGTCACGTTGTCTCTGTCGCTTTATTCTATTGCTACCTTTTATGTATTGCCACATAGGCATTTCGATACGAGCGCACCGACGGAAGTATTGGAATCATAGCGCAAGTTGGTCATATCGCAAACGCTCTAGTGTTGCAAAGTGTGCGGTCGTAATTTCATACAAAGACACATATCCTACACTGGCAGGTCTGTAGTGAAGTGGTGACACATGTTGGGGATGTCGCAAAAGCGTTGGTGTCGCAAACTGAGCAGTCGGAAACTCTGCTGCAGGTGATCGACAAGTGCTGGGCCACGCACACGCACCACATGGTATGTTCAATGGGCCACACTGCCAAAACTACTCTTAAGTATCTGGACGCATAGTCCTCGAATTGGGTCATATGACGCTGATGACCTCTGCCAATGCTGTTAAACCACGAAAATTGTTACAACGCCACCGACATGATACTTTATTAGCCACTTACAGTGGTACCGTGCCCTTTTTATCTGATGTGCAGATGCTGATAAATAGTATATTCCTGTGCCTGGACCGCAAATACGTGCTGCCCTCTCCCAGCATCACGAGTCTCTGGTATGCAATTGCCTCTATTTAGTGGGATATTGCATATATATATATATATATATATATGTATATATGTATATATACATCTATATATATCTATTTATATCTATATATATATATCTATTTATAGATATATATTTATATATATATATATATATATATATATATATATATGTATATATATATATATGCATATATATACACACACACATATATATATATATATATATATATATATATATATATATATATATATATATATATATATATATATATATATATGTGTATATATATATGTGTATATATATAT